CCTGAAGGCTGCCTCCCATTCCCTGACAATAATAATTTTAGACACTAAGGTCTTTTTAAGTTCTCAAACCCTTTTAATACTTCCACATACAAAATCCAACTTACTATAGTCTGGAGAGAATGAGACAGGCTATTTGGTGCCAGAACACCTGGACTCCTATCCTGGCTCACTCCCATCCTTTCTGGAGGCTGGAAATGGGCATGCTTGCAAAACATCACTTAATCACCCTTCTTCCAACAACTGCCGCATCTCCTTGCAAGCTTTTGCTAATAGGTTACTGTTTATAGAGTACTTCAAGGAGGAAGTGCCTAGTATCTCACTAATGCCCAAACTGGAAACTACATCCAGGGGGTTAAGTCTGCATGTTAAGAAACCATTTCTAAAAGGCTTCCTATACAGTTTTCTTCAACCCATAATGAATGACAAAATCCATGCATTAACCAATGGCAAGGCACTTGGCTACTGAGGGGAGCACTGTGAAGATGCCTCTGGGTGAAACAGAATCCAATCAATCAGGCTTTCTCCCCTCTTTGGCTGCCTGGACAGCTGCTCCAGGGTCCTCCCCCCCACCCCCCCCAGCAGCCTGGTTCCTCCTTCTGGGAGCTCAAGCTGGGGCAGAGGGGACAGAATCACAGAACTGAGGGACCGGAAGGGACCTGCCAGATCAAGTCTGGGTTACTGGGCTCAAATGAGCTCAACAAGGTGCTTACCCAGCCTCCTCTTGAACACCTCCAGGGATGGCGACTGCACCACCTCTGCTGGAAATGTGTTCCAGGTTCTAGTTAGCCTTACAGAGAAGGTTTTCCTTAGGTCCAGCCTAAATTTTCCCTCTATTAGTTTGTGCCCATTGGATCTTGTCCTCCCAAGGGGTGCCTTCCTGAAGAGTTGCTCTCCTAGATCTTGCTGCTCTCCCCGATGTCCTTGTAGGGATAAGCCCTGTGAATACCTCTCTTTGGGGCTCACGCCTGTGTCGCTGGACAGGGACAACTCAGGGGCTTGGGGGAAGGAGCCCATGTCCCTAACAGTTCCCTGGGGACTCCACCCCACACCACCTGGGCTTCCCCCACCAGGGAGGGTTTGATCAAGCCTCTCCACAACAAAGGACTTAAATCACACCCCTCCACAGCACCCCCCCCCCCTTACCCCAAGGTGGGGGAGGTAGAGG